GGTTTCGCTGATCAACACCAGGCGAATGCCGGAGCAGTATCCTAACAAACAGCCATGAACCGCAGGCGATCTTATCTTCTTCGTATTCCTGGTCTTATCTTCTCCCCTTACACACATTTACATGCAGTACACTAGCATGCATGATGGGCCACCGATGAGGAGCTTAGAGCTGGGGCGGTGCCGCGCTGGTAGGAAATACCTGCTTAGGGTCTTACTTTCTAGTAAGGAAGATCACAGCCATTTTCTGAAGAGAAAAACATGCCCTACATTTACGGCACTACGTGCAGCCGTTGACGCTCCCGAAATCGTCAATCAATCAATTATTTTAGGCGCCTGGAGATCTTGCCTAATTCGGAGGGGATGCAAACAACGGGACAAACGCCATAGAGTGAATTGTGCGTAAGTGGCAACGTAAGAAAAACTTTGAAACAAGGAATAGGAAGATAAGAGTTTTTGAGTGGTGTTGCCTCAGCCTAATCATGTAGAACAAAATAAGCACGAGGCTCGTTCCACTCAACTTTGTGCAACCAGGACGGGTTCAGAACAACTGAACGTGTCCCACGTCGTCTCGACACATCGAATCAAGCTTTTTAGTTAATCACGTTTTCGATATTTAACACTCCAGTGGGCGAGGCTGAGGTGCGGTCAAGTTAGTGTAATTGTGTGCGGTCAATTTGGCGCTAACTAACACTCATTCTTCGTATGTAAGTGATCATCATCTTAATATTAATCTACCATGGAAAACGTCTAACGCATTTTTCACATTTTGATTTTGCGCGGCTAATCACGCGCGGATTGCTTTGGTGTCCAATGGATATCGAAAATTTCTGTAATTAATGGATATTTTTCCGTGATCACATATAACGAAGATAACGATGTGTTGTGAACAAAGTAGTACAAAAATGTTTCGTTAATACCTCGATTGACATACCAAAATGTACGCTACCATTGGGAATGTAAATTATTTTTCCGTCAATCGACGAGTTGCATTTTCAACATGTTAATTTAAATGTATTTTTTATCGCTGAAGCAATCTGATATTTTACTGTAAATGACAATTTTGACATTAAAAATGATAATGACCAGCCAATACATTGTTTCAGTTCTCCTTTCAGTTGCGGCATTTTTTCATGGAAAAAATTAGTTCTAAATGTGATAACCGTTGCAGCCTGCATATAGTGTGGAATGGTAAAAATTAAAATACATACGAATGTCTTCAATATTTGTATGAGTGAACATACAAGCATGTGAGCGTTTTTAATTTTTGTAAAGAAGGCGAGTGCTGCTTTATTATTTCACAAATATTTCGTAGTGAGTACTTTGTTATCATTTTATAAATAAAAAAAACTAAGCGCCTAACGTTTCAGACTGATTGTGAAGCGCCCGGATCACCTACAGAAATAATTGTAAACTTGTTTGAATGTATGTGAATCGAGTCAGTATTAAAATCCCGTCACCATTGCCAACAGCCTGTCAGAAGGCAAGATACTACCCAAATGCATGGTACCTATTGTAAACCAGGCCACTAGAAATGGAATAATGGCTCATTAAAAAAGAAAGAAAGAAGGTTAGAAAAGACTGTTTCATTTAGAATGTTGTGATGAAGGAAAATGTATTTTTTTAAATTTAGAATATTTATGGTAAATGCAAATTGTGCGTTTAATGTTTTTGTATTCAACTTTCATTAAAGGTTCAATATGTGTAGAAGACTTGTGTAATGTGTTTGTTCCATTTATTCACAGAACGCCGCATTCTGGAGGGGGGAGATGCTTTACCTAATTCTCATATCAATTTTATTTTATTAATTAGTATTGGAAACTGTTTTAATGAATACAAAATGATATAGATGAATAGTTCAATTCGACACATCATGTCTACGATTGTGGCAGCTGGATCTAAGGCATTCAAAGTATGTACGTGTGAGCCCATTGTATACTGAAGACGTCCAGTCATTTCTTCGCACACGTCATGCCCAAACCAAGACGCACGAATCATCTCCAAAGCGTCCATTTGTGATTTTATCAGATTCACATGTTCAAACCTGTTTCGGCACGGCGATACGTTAGACATTCTTCTGTTTCTAATCGCGACGAGATCTACTCGAACCATGTTGTACAAACACGCCGACCTTCGTCAAGGTTTTTTCGTTTCGGGACGCCTCACCATGCCATTTTCCCGGCGCCCCCCGCCGCCCACGTTAATTTACGTTGCCGCCAAATTAAATGTTCCGTCGGCGGCGATAAATCACGAAAAACATTCCCGCACATGACACAAAACAGGCCGCAACACTCGCTCCCTTGTGCCGAAGTATTAACATAGCGCATTAGTTGGCGATCTTATCACCGGATTGCGCTACAGTGCAGCCTCTGACCGTGATGAATCGCCAGGAGAACTAATTTCAGTTTGTAAGTTCAGCCGCGGTGACTAATTTTTGTTGGGTCGCCGCGCCGCGCAGACCTGGCCCAAGGGGGCGCCATGGCGGCATTTACGAACCGTCGGCTTTTGAATCGGGCTCCATTAATCTCTTTCTTTTGGAAATGGCACGCTGGACGCTTCTAGCCGTCCCGGTCTTCCCGGTGTGGCTGTTGGCGCCGCTGTGCTGATGTATTTTCATGCCTTGCTCTCGCCCACCGTCGTTCACGCTTAGCTCATCACAGTGCGATCGTACCAGTCGCTAGTAAAATACTCAGCTACTTATAACATACACAGGTTAACAATAGCTGCTTGTAATGAGGGATATTCTTTGTTAATCAACTTAAGTTCCGTTTTGTTTCACGCCAATTTCCGAAATATTAGTGGGATTATAGTATAGTTTGCTTCATTCAATTTTGGTAATTTGGTATTTTTTGTAATTTTTACGTGTAGAGGTGTGTTCTACCTATGCACGTGATTTCAGAAAGAAGCGACGACTTTTTTTTTTCAAATTTTGTCAAGCAATTTCCCAAGCAAGCCCAGTGTTGTTTCGCGCTACCTCCTAAAGTATTAATCGTGTTGGAGTCAGGTTTACTCCATTCACTTTATCGTAAAGTGATCTACCAGGTTACGCGATTTCAGAAAGAAGTAACGAATTTAATATTTTTCTAAGTGTGTCACGAAATTTATCAACTTATGCACCGATTTCTTTCGCGCCTTTTTGAAACTATTAGTCTAATTGAAGTCTGGTGTACTCTATCACGTTTTTCTAATGTGTTTTAAATAAATACGTGATTTCAGAAACAAGCGACCAAATTAACATTTTTCCAAATTTTTCACGTATTTTCGTAATTTTTCACGTGGGGGGGTATTGTTTGTTAATAAACTTAGCTTCCTCTTTTTTCGCGTCCATTTCCGAATTTATTAGTCGGATTGGAGTGTGGTTTTCTCCAAGGGTTAAACAATTATACGTGATTCCAGAAAGAAGCATATTTTGCAGAAAACATATTTTGCCAAATTTGTTATGTAATTTCCCAACATTGGCACCGTTTTGTTTCGCGTCTAAATTTGGATAAATGGATATATGGATAAAATGGTTAAAAGGATAAAAGACTAAATGGATAAATGGATTGATGGATTAATATATTATTGAATTAATTACTGTATTAATATATTAATGGATTGAGGAATTATGGTATTAATGGATTAATGGACCAATGGATTAATAATTAATGGTTAAATGTATTAATGATTAATGTATTAATGAATAATGTATTGATGGATTAATGCATTCATGAATTCATGAATACATCGATACATGCATATCGGATAGATAAATAAACTTTATCTATTCGTTGTAGCCAATCGAGTGCACCACCCCAGCCATTTCCTACTCACTACCTGCGCGGCCTTCGCCTACGCCAGCCTCCCGCTCCCTCCGCCGACCGAAGTGCCCCAGGAGGAGGGAGGAGGCAGGGGTTCAGAGGTCGGCCGCCGCGGCGCCTGCAGAGGAAGACGGTGGCCGATAACCCCGTTGACCCGGGCGGGTCCCAAACCACCTTTAGTAATGGGCTCTTGTTTCTTTTGTCAGCTCCTTGTTGAGATTCGCAGAGACTCGGGAGCGTCGCCTTGTATCCGGTAGCATGCACGCTGGATGTTTTTTGAAATCAAAAACTCGTGAGTGTTTTAACAAGCTTAGTTTACAGAGGCTGTGCGATGTAGGTGCATGCTTATCACTGGAAAATGTGCGCAACGTGTTGGGGTGAAATTTCAAGTCTATGTTTGGGATAAAGTTAATTCAATACAATATGTTATGCAACTGAGCACTAACTATTCTGTTACACTCGTAGTTATGGTGTGTCAGAACGTGAAACTTATAAAATGAAACACTACAGAGTGTTCAGGGAGGGTGAACATGTACAGATTGATGAGGGAGGAAAGTAGAAAACTTCGAAAATAAGCTTTTAAGTCAATTATAATCATATTTTTTGGAATAAACTCCTTGGAGTTTTCGAATGGGTAAGCTGCAGTATGCACTCAAAAGTTGGATTCAAAAATATTTTCTACGCCAAAATTTACATTTCAGAAGCATAAAAAACCCTCCAGAAACCTGTAAATTCTTTGTTATATACAAAAGAAGTGAAAATATAGTTTACTAAGGAAAATTGACACAGAAATAAAAAAAACTAGTAATGCTACAGAATGGCACAGACTTTCTCTTATTAGTTTTCTATATCCTTTGGTCTCAGTTAACTAGGCGAACATGCCACATATTCTTGCCTGATGCCAACTGAAGCTCAAAGTACATTTTTAAAAACTGTTCTTAATGTTTCGGTTTCCTAATTGTAGAGCGGAAATATTATTTTAAATTTATTGAAGAACATTAAAACCTCGTCCTAATAGCAATTTGCTTCCAACATTTGGGGCCGTTTTTAAAAAAACTAGCGTTTAAGCGCTACTGTAAATTTGAAATTTAAAACTCTTTTTCACAAAAAAAAAAATTGAGTTTTCGAAAAACTTCGCTTAAAATAATTTTAAATACTTTTACTCATTTTAAGTTTTTTTGAAATTTTCGAAAATCCAGAGTTAACAGTGAAAATCGGACGTTTATAAGTGACACATAAAATGTCACGTTTATAAGTGTATGTTACTCTATTCTTACGAGAATTTTTTTAATAATTTGGAGCCGTTTTTGAGAAAATTTTGAAAATGTTCGGAGGCCTTCATGTAAAGTACTCCCAATTTTTAAGAATGTTTGTTCAAAATCTCAAAGTTTCGACCCGAGCTAGATGGACATTCTTCAATTTAGAAAAAAAATCCTACGCACGGTTTAGGAGCTAGAAATGTTCACAGGCACCAGGCGGGCGGACAGACGGACGTTTGTTATCAATTGATTTTTCGATATTAAGGACCCACAAAGCAGGGTTTCTGGCTACACCACATGTTGGAGGATTTTTTCTTAATTCAGCAAACTTGATTTATCCCTTTTTGTTAACAGGGCCTGGCAATGAATTTGTTTACGCTGGAAATCCTCCATTTTTTCGATCAGCATTACATAACTTTCCCTGTTATACTTACATTACTCCGTATACTATACAGACGAATACGGCAAAGTGAAAAGGAATGGAATTGTGTAAATTGTGTGTTTTTACAGTGGAAATATTTTGGGATTTTTTATTGGAGAATGAATAAATAAAGTTATCATCCAGAAAATAGTAATATTTATTACTAACTAATAATAACTATCAATAAATAATTATTTATTGTTTCAAATCATATTTAAATGCCTTTCCGTGTCTTATAACTGATGTTTTAAACTTGGATGTAATTCGGCTCTCATTAGTAAACGTCTCCTAGTGATTCAGGTCAACAACAGAACAAATTATGTAATTAGAACATTTTAAATATTTTGTATATATTTAAAATTGGATATATATTCTATAATTTTACCGCTTTTCAGAAAAATGTGAGAAAACACTTTTTTATTTATTGATAGTTACAAATATTAAATCTTAATTAACAGAACTGTAAATATAAACCGATGAGAAATAGAGAAAACTGACGGACAAGTATGTATATTCCCATTAAAACATTGAATGGCTCTATTTATGCCCGTAGGCGTGACATATCATTTGTGAAATGTTAGCCACAGCTTTGCGTAAGCACAATAACCAGCTGAATGAACTCTCATCACTCAAACAAATCTGGCGTTGCATTCTCGTGATTATTGAAGAGTCAATATTGGCAAGACGACACTTTCTAAAAGCGTTTGTAAGTCGAGGCTGCGGGGTTGTATTGCTTATTGGCGCTGTTGGAGTACATCGTGGGGTTTCACTAAGGGGGTTCGTTGTGACACGACAAAAAGCCCTGGGCCATGCCACGCGACTTCACAATGGCATAACTTGATATCTAGCCGACTCTGCTGATCACCCCAAAATAAAGTAAAAAAATAAAGTACAAAGATTAATGAGTTGGAAAATAAATATATGATATATAATTAAATAGATGAAAAGATAGTGTACCAATTCTTTATTTCAGATAAAAAAATCTAACGTTATTTAAATATTAAACTGTAAGTACATTTTAATTTAAATGAGGGTCGGCGATGTATGTAATACAAAAACGAAACGTTACTCTATCCTCTAATAATAAATTAGTAAGTCAATAAATAAATATAAAAATATATAATATATAATTAAATAGATGAAAAGATATTGTACCAATTCTTTATTTCAGATAAAAAATAACAAATGTTATTTAAATATTAATCTGTAAGTACATTTAAATTTAAATGAGGGTCGGCGATGTTTATAATACAAAAACGTAACGTTACTCTATCCTCTAATTTAAATGTATTAATCTAAAAACCACACAATATTACGAAAAAACATTTATTAACAAAATAAAAATAACTAAATTCAAAACAACACTACAGTGACTCAGTTCCAAAAATTATTTATCGGAAGTGTCACTGATATCGGAAGTGCCCTTTGCTTATACAATATGTATGGAGGTGAGATATCGGAATACCTTCACGTTTTTAAGTCTAGTAATAAGCTGAAATCACGTTACTTTTCAAGGATTATTTCATTTAAAAGAAATTCTCTTAAAAAGCGAGGGAGGTTTAGAAAACATCTTGAGAAACGGAACAAGAGTAGAGACGCAAACCAGGTCGCCACAACAAAAGCCGGAAGACTCTCGCGATCCTCCCAGTGTCAAAATTCGCTGGTTATAAAACTGCGTTTTACACACAAAACATCTGCAAGCCATATTAATATCCCTGTATGTATCAATTTCTGCAGTGAGTATTGCCCGAACCCATTTTCTTGAGCCCTCGCTTTGCTAGTTGCAAGAGGAGTAGGAATTTTGGTTATTTTGATAAAATAAATTTTACATAGATTTTTTAGTTCGTTTCTCGGTGCAAAATAGTTTCTGTTACACGGGAGCGGACATTTCTGGTTATCAGATTTTGTCAACAACGCTTGTTGCTATCATTTATTCTTAATTCAACTTATGTTATGTATTCCGGAACTCAAGAAAACGTGCGCGTATTGTATCACTACACATAACCACGGAGATTTAAACCGAAATATGGCAGTGCAGTCGAGGAAAGCTAGTCTCCGGATCTCTTGTTCTTCCCTTCAAATACTGTTGCTGTATTTAAAATTCAAAATCAAAGATCATACATTCGAATTTAATTACTATCTAAAAATAAGTTAACTTGAAGTCTCCCTATGAATCCACCACAAGTAAAATTGTTTGAATAAATTAAATTATTTGTGCACAACACTTTTCTTGAAGTTGAAAACCACACTACCAATAAGATCATATATTTAGTCTTCTTACACCTTCCAAATTCATAAATCGCTGAGGCTTCAATCCATGCAGGACAAATTTATGGCAATTACTGCGCTACCAATTCCTTCAGACTAACTGAGTTAAAATGGTTTTCCTTCCGAAGGCCACAAACGATGTTTATAGCAACTGCCTTCTTCTTCAATCGAATTATTCTACTTCGTCCCTCATAACTGTCGCGTAACATTAAAATCCGTTTCATCAATCAGCACCAAACCAACGAGCTAGAATATACTACATAGATTGGCTTCAGCATCTCCATCTTTGAAGTCAATTGAAGCCATGTTTTTTTGCAGTCAAATCAGCGCCCTCTGGGAAACAAAGTAATCTATACAACGATATATCCAACTCCGCCCCTGGCAGGTCTCAGCTGTTCACGGTTTTATCGTATGTTTTGACTAAAAAAAACCGCTTTTCGTATGTTTTGACTTAAAAAAAAAGACGGCCACTAGTTCGACGAGCCTCCACCAAGAGCGCTGAAACTATAGGGTCAGCCACTCTATCCAGTATATTCTAGCTCATGCACCAAACTGACATCCAGACTTGTTCATTCCTACCCTTTCATTGTTCCGAGCTCGCAGTTGATTCTTTTATGTTTTTTTACCAAACAACCGTCGTCCTGGCGTTCTTCGCAATATCAACATGTTTTGTTTGTTTCTACGTTTTCAAGTTTGCCGTAGAATCAAGACCCATTACTATTAGATGGAGATTACCCATTAAAAAAAGATGATTATAATTATACAAGAGTAGTTTATGGTACAAGAGAGAAAACAAAATTTAATAAACTTGTAAAAATTAGCCCCACGCGTCCTAAAGTCTCCTACAATATCATTTGCACTCCAGCTGAGTGGCTCAGAGCATCAACTGATGTCACTGCAGTGCCTCACACCGGGAGATGCTCAGCCGTTGTCCGGAGAAGAATTCTAGCGGGTGGATGCTTTGATAGGTAGCTTTATGTGGTTTCTTTCAACAACACCAGGCGAATGCCAGCTCAGTATCTCTTTCTTTCCTCTTCCTTGTCGTAAGAGCACCCCTTTACTTACACACACGTACTCTTACAAGCAATTACCGCAAACGTCGGAAGCTTACCGACCAGTCGAGATCTTAGAGTTTCCCCAGTTGGGGGGAGGCGGGTATTGATTGTAGGAGATACCTGTGGGAGAAAACCCCGCAAGCCAACGTGTAGGTCGGCGTCAAATTTCAACCGTCTAGCGGGGAAAGAGCATCGCCACTTCCTGTGAAGAAAGCCTTCACTACACTAACGGGACTAATTGCCATAGCAGTTGAAACACCAAGTAATTAATCACTGTAAGAATTACCCCCTTCGGCTTCCAAAGTCGCCTAAACGTCCACGCACAGCGTACCTGGAAACCCTGGAATCTCTGCAAACTATGACATAATTATGTCCCCTATCTGGAATTTTATTGTGAGGTTAAACAATGTTTCCGATAGTGTACGTTGTGATTTCTCGTGACTCGCATTTCGGAATAATGCCGCATTTTTCAGAACAGGAAAACCAGCAAGTAAATGTGACATACACACGTTGATTGTGAAGTTTTTTGCATATTTTCGTCGTTTTGGGGGGTGAGATATTTTTCCAATAGTCTCTAAAACGGTAGATTACATTAAATTGTGTTAGTGCAGGTGTTTCATATTCCAATTCAGAAGCTCCCTTGAGAACATATTTATATAGACTGACATTCATTTTTCGAATAAGATTTTTTTTTAATTTATACAGAGGGCAATAAAGATACTAATATTCACCGGATGGAGGAATCAGAGATGTATGGAAAGGAAAACATTGTGACAGCTTCCTATCGTGCTCACCCACAAACGACATTAGAAACAGCTGCAGCTGTATTCGTAAAGGAACACGTACTATTGATAGTCGATAACACACGGAAAGGAGTGGCACGGTAAACACGGTTCTACGACTAAAGGGGATTGTGGGGAAAACAGATGACGGCATGACGCCATGCATAGCTGCATGGTGAGTGGAGTCAAGATGTATTCAGGATGAACGATAAGTCGAAGAATTTTCTATTCATTATTCTTAAGGAAATTAGGATAATAAAACTGTTTATTATTTTACTTCATTAAGTTATGGTGATGTTATTGAAATCCCACTGTGCGGAAAGATGGAAACAAATCATTACGGTTTTCCTGTACCTTCACAAATTGGCTAAAGAGGAGAGTTGTAATACGGCTGACTAAAAGTTTGAATATTAGCGGTATTGAAATGTCCGGAGTCAAAACAAATACCTAGAGAGTGTGACCAGAAGAGTGAAGAATTTGGGTAAATTAGATGTTATTTCCTTCATGAGCAACTGTGTTAATGTAAAAGGCACTAATAGTAATACAAATCCATCCTAACATCAAATACGTCATAACGTAACGTTCTCGTCATAACTGTAACTTTTGAAATTTCAAACATTTAGAGATATGAACAAAATACGACCTTCGTCGTTTTTTAAATTGTCGTTCGTTCAATTAAAGGGAAAAGTAAAGAAAAATGTAGAGACCGTTTGGGGATTTTGTTAATAAAAATTGTAGCTAATTAAGGCAAAAATTACGCAAAAACTACTTGTTTTTTTTTTGAAAAAAATTGCACCTGACCTTATTGTAATATCTAAGTTTTTAGAACAATTTTCATTACAGTAATAAATATCTATCATCAATATAGTAGTTTTCAATGCCCATTGTTTGCAATTTTCAAAAATTAAGAAAGTTCTTCGAAAATTAGACCTGCTCTATTTTTTATCACCCTGTGTTTCTCTTTCTTCAATTTTGTAGTTGTAGGAAGACGTCGAAAATATTGAATTTTTGCAACTTTTTAAATTTTAAAGAGTTCAATGAAAATGAGACTGATGCAATTTTTATAGCGGTCTTCTCTATTCAAGGTGCAAAAAATATTAAACAATGTGAAGCCATTTTTGAGAAAATTTTGAAAGCACAAAGACCTTATGTAAAGTACCACCAAAAATTAAAATCTCCGTTTTAAATTTGCAGAACCGGACAGATCGATTAACGAAAATCATTTTTGCGGGATTGCACATTATCTTTGATACAGCCACAGAAAAAAAGTAAAGATGCGTGAGATCAGACGATCGTAGCAGCACAAATATTAATTTACATGGTTAATGATGAATATAGTTTTCAGTAGTGCACTAAAGAGATGTAAATGTGATGTAAATGTGAGTATTAAAAAGACTGAAATTTTAGAGAGTTCGCATTTTTCCTTTCTTTTGTTTCTTCAATTATTTTTGCAGTTCTGTGCATTAAGGCGTTAATTAACATTTTTAATTTAGTTGAATATGTAGCGCGGCATGTTGGGTAGGGTTTAACATGGTTTATTTTTCCCTCACTTCGTGATAATTAATACTATTTAAAAGAACCATTGTTTTAAAAGAAACATCGTGTCAATTTAATTTTAGTCATACAGAATTTTAACAAGAATTAAATGAGCAACGTCATCGATGTATGTATTAAAAACCCATATTCACTGCAGTGGAGTAATTTTTGCGTTATTTTTCAAGGTAATTATTTGATACAAAACAAGTTTTTAATATTAGTTTCATTTTAATATATTTAATATAAGTTGAATGTTCGCCGTGTCTAATTATTGAGTATCCTACATCTTTAATAAAAAAAAACAAATACCAGAATCGACCAATTCCAATCGTAAAATTTCGTTTCTCCTTCCAATATTTATATTGAAAAGTTACTTCGTTTCTGAGACGTATGCTCCTCTCCACACTAGCATAAACAGCGTCTTACTTCAATGCCAAACCTAATACTTAACGAGAGACAACTTCCTCGGGTTAGTCAAAGTTTCTCCACAGTTCTCCGAGAAACTTGGTGAGCACTTGTGCATCCAGATCAAGCAGAAAGGGGGGAGAGGCGTTTGAAGGAAAAGATCGGGGGGGGGTGAGAAGGGGCGACGCTGCGGGAAATTCCCGCCTGTCAACAGACTAACGCAACACACATTCCCGTCTCATCTTTAATGAAAGTCGTAAAGCGCGCCTGGCCCAGCGACCCAGCAACCAAACCGCCCTGAATAAGAAGAAAGAAAAAAAAAAAAAGACACAAAACAAACCTCATATAAAAGAAAGATTTCTTCGCGTGAGACGACAAATCGTCGGAATTCACAAGGTTGCCGCAGTCATAAGACGCCATAATTGTTTATGTCATTACTGCTAGGAGGAGGAGTGTCGGAGGTCGCATGCCAGGGACGAGTTCTGTTCTGGCGCCCGGCGGGATGCTGCTAGTGCTACGAGCTGTCGGCGAGGCAGTTTTTCTCCAACACAACTGGTACGTGGTCGTTAATAACCTAAGAGATTGATACGACTTAAAGTAAACATATTATCTATCTATGAATTGATTCTTGTTATCACGTAATAGTAACGTTACATAGCAAGTCAAACATAAAAGGTTATATTAACTGGGTAAAGTTATTAACTTTTATAGAATCCAGTTCGAGCAAAAAACGTCACTCACGAAGTATAAACAACAGTTGTTACACGATCGTATAAACGTTTTTATTACGAATCAAGAGTTGTCTCATCTGTGTACTCTTCGTAATTTATTTGAAAGGAACCCCCACCTTCGTTTACGTTTGTTACAATTACTGAATTTAAAATGATTAAAAACAATGCTGACATTCCACACGAGTTGTTGGAATCGGCAAACGCTGAAGTATCTATTTTATTACCCAAAATTCCTAAGGTAATTTCGAAAAATCTTACCATCAGTGCAGAAGACAATGTACATTTAAAAACAGTTATTCTGTGTTACATAATAAATTCTCTGTTAACAGTTACGTACTAATGTGTTCATAGTTAATTTTAATTAGTTAGATCGCTGGTGAGGTAGATACCTTGTTATTCTGATAAATAAAGATACTGTCTGGTATCAATGAATGTCTGGTATTTATCAGTTAATTTTAAATTGTTATTGGGAAAATGTATTAATAGAGAAAATAAATTTGTTTTGCCATTAATGAGTGCTTTATTTTCTTACTTCTGTTGTAAACGACCTGCCGTGCGTAAACGTAATTTTCGCACTGTAATGTCACCATGAAAAAAAAATTATACACGGCGATGACACATTTTTAAATATTTTAAGAAAAGATTAACTTCACTCACGTGTAGCAGCACGCAAAAATCCACATATTTATACGATCGTAGAAAAATGTTGTTTTTTAATAACGATATAAATGCATTTGAGACTCGCATATAAAAACATTTAAAAAAAGTAAGAAATCAAATAATAACAGATCAACATAGAAAATGATATTTAATTTAATATTGATATACTAAATGCCAGAGTTACAATTACTGTTGTCTAATTTTAAAAGAATAAACATTTCTTAACAAGTAATATACTTCACTTCTTAGACCAATGACTCTTAATTTCGATCACAGTTTTTGTCCAGTTCTCCTTGATCCATTCAGCACATGCTGAGATGGTCCCATGGACGTAAATGTAGCTTCACTATGTGCACGTTTGTGGAACGTGTTTCGCCGCTGACTTATGACTGATTCGGTTGCGCAAAGCCAATTTTGAGATCCCTATCCCAACCTGCTTCGCTTGATGATGTAATCACAGATTCATGCAACTTGCACACGAATAGTTCCCAACGATTGCCTTTTTTCAGAATGTGCTATTAGCTTATCTTCTTCCCAACCGTTGAGTCATATGATATAATTAAATATTTGTGAACAACAAAAGTGTTTCATCACTAACAATGGAAGGAGTCCGTGTTTTTAAAGTCGATTTCACGTCAACAATGCACAAGAAATACAACTGTATTGAAGGTGAATTAATCAAGTGATCTCAGTAACTTGGGCTAACATTGTAAAACTTACAATCCATTGGAATGGGTTTATTAGTAGTTCTGCAATTAAGTTTCAGAACTTGGAGGCAGAATACACTAACTTAACATTACAGAACTTTAAACTTTACAAAATTTACAAACTTTACAAATTAACATGGACATTTCACCGTGCAACCTTTCATATCACTTCACCTCACCACTACACACTCTTCACTTCTCCGCACTGCAGATCACTGAGCTGCAATGTCTTTCTTATACATTCGTTTCCCTCAATTTCAGTACGTCACGGCACTGCACCCCCCCATGCGTATTATGATTATTAATAATAATAATAATATTATTATATTTTTTAATAGGGATTTTAAAACTTACTTTTGATAGTAGATTAATAATTTAATAATGCTAAAGATATTTGTAATAGCCATATCAATATTTAGGAAACTAACATATATTTAAATTTGCTCAGACTTTGGGGAAAGGGATCAAAGATTGTCACAGGCAAACCGTTCCTGTCACTAATAGTTCGATTCACGAATGAATATTTCCCAACGTTGAGAATGGTCAATGTCAATAAAATGAATCATTTTTATGTTTATTATATATTTGTTTCCTAGATGCTACAAAACAATACATTTCTTCTAACCATCTTTTTCCGACCACTCCAATTCACTTCTGCTTTAAGCTGTCTGAATACCACCATGAGAAATAAGTTAACTCGTGTTAATCCGTTTCACCGATCAATACCCGGAGCAATACTTTAACAAATTGCCCACAGACCACGTGCGATATTTCCTTCTTCTTCCTTGTTCTATCCTGACCCCTTACTTCCACACACACACACACACACACACACACACACACACACACACACACACTTACTGTATATGCACTACAGTACCATACATTCGGGAAACCTATCGGGAACTTAGAGCTTGTTCCAACTGAGACGATGGCTCGCTGGTGGGTGATATTCGAATGAGAAAGAGGATTCCCGCGTCTTCGAAATGTATCGTCTGTCTTGTGGAGTTCCAACAACAGTGTAATGCTACTACTACAAAGGAAAACCTTGGAAGATGACGTAAAATCCGGATCTCGCAATACAGGAGGAATTAACATGATAAACGTGATAAAGCATGTACTACACTTACGGGAATAATGAAAATTATCCTTCACTTGCCCGGAAGCACAAAATAATCAATCTGAAATATAACTCTCTTTCACTTGCGTACTGTATCTCAAAAGCAATGGCACGACGCGCTTTTGTTTGGATAACGTCTATTGCTTCTCATATCCCTTGTCATCGCCTTTAAATCTGACATTTCATTCGAACACATCTTGTATATCCGCGCACAGATCGTACCATCGCCTTTAATGTCTAACAAACCCTTTTAGTCATTTGAACAGAATGTGCGGAACTCCTCTCGCTAAGCGAGCAATCGGCTGTAAACAATTCATGTCTCTTGTCGATTTCAACGGCAGCTGTTAACCGTTGCAGACATCTTTGTGGTGGCATTTACGAACCTAGGGGACGATTAAACGGTTTCGCTAAAGGCGATTACCGCGCGGTGAAAGGCGCTTGAAAGCATTGGTTTGACACCAATTGATTATGAATGCTAGCTAATAAAGACTGGGAGACCCCGTCACGGGGCGACTGTTCTCGAAATCTGATGAGCCAGAGGGCAATGGACTGGTGAATGACCGCAGGTGATGACACGTCGCCGGTTGTTGGTGCTGCCGTGTACATGGAGGCAAATTGAACACTCTGCCGCGCTCTGGTAGAGTGCGTAGAAACCAAAATGATTGATTGATTGATTTATTGGTGATTTCGAGAGCGTCAATTGCTAAGTTCATTAGTTCCATAAGTGAAGTGCATGTTTTTATCGCGGGATGAGGTAGTAATGTTCTCTCGCTAGATGGTGAAATTCTGTGCCTACCTACCGTCGGCTAGCGGGGTTTCTGCCTCCCGGTATCTCCCCCAACTGGGACACGCTCTAAGCTGCCGACTGGTCTCCCACCATGCATGGTAGTGCAGTGCATGTAAGTGTAAAGGAATGTAAGTAAGGGGTGAGGATAGGATAAGGAAGGGGATGGAAATATCGCGTGCGGTCCGTGGCCCATTTGTTAGGGTACTGCTCGGGAATTCGCCCAGCGTTGTTAGGAAAATACCTGTCAGAGCAGTCGGTCGCTAGACAACGGATGAATTCGACCTAGCTATCTACTTTGGGGGGAAATCCTGACACCGTCAGGCTTCGAACCCTAGAACATCCCGGTCAGAGGCACTGCAGGAACTTCAGTTGATCCCCTGAAACATCTAAGCCGTTGAGCCGTTGTGTTCAGCATCGGTGAATGGAGCAACACCTGAACTAGGTAGGAAATCAGAGTCGGTTTCCTCCCCGCCGTGATATTGAAAAGTGGAGGTTACAGAAGCAAACCATCAGGGAGAAGTAATCGGTGTGTGTGTGATTTTTTATTTGGATTGTTTTTGGTATTGCTAGGATATTAAGAAAGCTTCATTGTTCACGGAGACTATCTTTCCTTAATAAAGCCGACAGTTCTTTCGAAACTTTAGTAATAGATTGAACTGGACCGACAGTCGTGATAGGTGATAATTGAAATCAAATTGATAGTGTGTGTGAGTCTCTTTTACAAGTGATGTAATTATGATCCGATGAGATCGCCATCTTCTATCGTGAAAGAAAAAGTAATGATAGCTCTCAAAGAATGTCAACGGTCAGTTGTTGAAGTGACAACCAACCATAACTAGAAATCTGGAAGCGTTAACAATGTTGAACAACAATGTTGTGGTCGTGATTGTGGCTTACATCACATCTGACAAAAACACCTCTTAATCACTCCTGTGCAATTTCTAACAACAGGGAAGACACAATTTAACGTTAACTCGCAATAAGGCAAAATAAGGAAAATAATTTCAAAGATGTTGGATGACAACTGGTGGAGAATAAAGGGTATATCAAGGGTATCGGAGAGAATCAAAGGTGTATATGAAGGGTAAATTAACGCTGTTTTCCCTCAGTACCGTCAGTCAGTATAGTCGCTTAATGTAAACAACATAAAATGGTCTCTCTCAGACAGATCATATGTATTTCCATTCAGTGATTTTGTCACATTGTACCCTTCGTGTGTGAACTATTCCCCTGCAGCAGGCATTTGCGCCGACAATACGTGAAATGGCAGCTATGACCACAATAGTGTCAAGCACATTCCATATGCAACGCCCAATAGCTGCGGGCGACATCTGCAAGTAAAATCCTGCTGCTCCGTTGTTCCATCCCTCCAGGCCCTCGGCGCCGCAGCGGCTGCCTGTGAGTGGGCATTCCCTTGAGGAGGATGTGCGACATTTGGTTCTTTACCGGCATTACTGATGGATAGGTGTAGGTTTTGTTTGTAATTACTAGGGGGCGGATTTTGATGACCTAAAATCTCACCAAAAATGATCAAGAAAATGCTCTTAAAA